ATGCTGTGCTAGAGATTGACTCCTAACAAAGTGCCAAGAAGGGTAGCATCAAACAGAAGGGGCCTTGCTGCCCTGACAATGACCCGCACAGGGCAGTGATCAATAGTTTAATACCAAATGCTGTGAGTGCATGGGGGACTATGCTGTAAATATGGCAGCTATGTAAGTATATATAAGCAGCGTGAATATGGTACAAATATGCAGCTAACGCAGATTTAGTTAGATAAGAAGTATGAATTAGGGTTAGACTCACCTTTTCTGATTCCTCATCTTGCCATACACTAAACAAATAGCCAGGGTAGCACTGACGAAGCTCATCTCCCTCATCTACGTTAACACCAGGAATGTTAATTCTGCTCTGGTAAGTCACTGTGATGATTAACTGAAACAATGCCTAGGAGGTGTTCTAGCTAGCCTTAACTGTTAGCTTGCCTAAGAAGGGAGTCTCAGTGTAGGGACTGTCCAGATCAGAGCGGTTTCAGGGCCTGTCTGTCCGTGTGTTGATAAGATGGCTCTCCCACAGTGGGTAGCACCGTTCCCTGGTCAGGTGGTCCTGGGCTGTATTTTTTTTTTTAAGTATCTAAGCCTGAACGTGTGAGCAAGCCAACAATCATAGTTCCTCCAAGGTTTCTGCTTCAAGTTCCTGCTTGAGTCCCCAGCCTGACTTCCCTCAATGATGAACTGTAATCTGTGAGCTGAAATCAATCCTTCACTCCCCATGTTACTTTTGGTTGGGGCATTTTAATAACAACAACAAAAAAAAAGAAGCTAGGACGGAAGGTACACAGCACACACCGCACTTCAACAAATGGCATCCATTTGGACGACGGTGTTTGCCACTCATGGGAGCCCTCCTACCAGCCTTTTCCATCCTGGAGAGAAGAGCCATGCTTCCTTGGCAATGTTATAAAGTGCTGCCATTTACTATAACATATGAGTGACTATATTGCTTTGCTGGGTCTATTGTCAAATCTACCCTCAAAATCCTTAAAGTTCTTAAGGGAGTCTAGCACAGAATTGCACCAATACTGGAATAACCAGAGCAGAAGAAGGGAGGAAGCATCCTAATACTAATATGAAGACTAATGAGTAGAAGCAGCTCATAGAGAGAATTAGATTCACTAAGGTTTATGTTATATGCTTTTCTTTGTTTGTTTATAATACATTCTAGTAATGTAGCCACTACACTACTTTATAGAGATAAAAATAGAACAAATACATTTTTAAACAAAGTGGAACAAAAACCACTGCTGTTTAACAGAGGGAAAGGGGCCTCTCTGCTCGAACACTATGAAGCGACTTTAGCTTAAGCATTCATGAGTTTCCTAACTTTGAGATTTCTTAAATTGATGAGAGCGCCTTATTAACACATGGTTGGAAAGCTTCATGAATCGCTGCCCTGTTCCCATGGACCACACAGCAGGCTGACTAGTGAAGAGCCTCTTCCTTCCCCTCATCCCTGTTTATTGCATGTCTCCCCTCAACAGAGGAGCCATAGGATAATTGGACCATTCAGAGGAAATACTGATGGCCATGTTTATGAGTAGTGCCTGCCCCATCAGCCCTCCAGATGGTACAAATGGAAGGTTCTCAGGGCCTAAGGTCATGCACTCCTTCCTCCAAATATGCAGGCAGCACACTGGCCAACCAAGCAGTGGGCCTTGAGTTTTCTGAGAGTCCTTTTGTCCTCTTCTATTTTAACTCTCAGAAAAGAGATCTAGAGAACTACTGTCTATCCTTTTCCCTTAAACCCAAGTACTGACTCCTAAAGGTCCCTAAATGGAACAGCATTTCAGGGTCAGCATTTGTCTATGACATGAATTAACCCAGTGGCTGTGGGATAAATCCAATTTCTCTGAGTTTCAGTTTTATTAACTTCCCTACCAATATCGCTAATACTGTTTGACACATAAAATAGTTTTTTTTACTATAATTTTTTTCTTTGTTTGTTTTGTTTTGTTTTTCAAGACAGGGTTTCTCTTTGTATCTCTGGCTGTCCTGGAACTAACTCTGTAAACTAGACTGGTCTCGAACTCAGAGATCCATCTGCTTCTGCCTCCCAAGTGCTGGGATTAAAGGCATACTCTACTGAACCACAAACTAAACACGTATAGGTGTCATTTATTATGACTGACAACTGAGACACAAAAAAGACAGACTCCACTCTGGTAGAAAAGGACATATATACTGACAATGAGGGTGGAGGATTCTGTGGGGCCCGAACTGATATGTCCATGGGGTACAGACACCCTAATCTTCAGAGGAAAGAAAAGCATCAAAGGATAATGTTGCAGTTGATTCCTGGGGGGAAAGAAGGAAGGCCAGGGAGAACAATGCAATTAGTGAGAAAGGCAGGAGTAAGGCTGCTGCTGAACTCAAGAGCCCAGCATGTCAGGAGTGCATCCCATAGGTCATCAGGGCTAGAGCTCTGGGGAGCATGTATGGAGCAGGCTAGAGAGGAAAGAATATGAAATGTTGAGCTTGATATAGAGAATTACTGAGAAATCATTTTTTACTTCTTTGTGTTCTTCTTCAAGATGAGGTGTTACACAAATTCTCTTCAATCAAAATCCCTTCTCTTGCCAAATCAATTACAACTTTGAGAGAACCTGATGCAGAGGGTCTCCAGCTGAATGGCTCCCAGATGCCTAGCCCACGTAAACTGAAAGATACCAAATATGTGTTGGCTTAAGTCACCGAGTTAGTCATCATTGGTATTCATGCGTGGTCATCTGTTTATGCATAGGAATTGCTCAAAAGCAGATGTGCGTTTTGTAAAGTCGGTTTGCTAACAGAGCACAGAGAAGGTCGGAGGATGGTAAGAGCACAGAGAAGGTCGGAGGATGGTAAGGAAGAGAGCTGGGGGATCTTTTGAGATGACACAGGGTGTAGTGAGGAAGGGAGCTAAGGAAGTGTAAAGGAAGTAGCACAAGAGACATCAGAGCTTGACTCATCAGGACATTGTTCTAACTGGATGTGTAGAGCAAGAAGACAATGTGGAGGGTGAACGTGACGGGATGAGCTTTGGGCTGTAGATGGAACCAACCGTCTTTTTAAATAAGAACCACAGAACCAATGCAAAGAAGAAAGTCAAGAGGTCAGAGCTAAGAGCTAAAACCTTACCCTTCCTCCTGCGGTGGTCCTACCTCTCCGAACCAGAGCTACCCCTGTGTTAAAGTCTTTATATAGAGTTCCTGTCCTGCCTTCTCATTGGTTGTAAACCCAACCACATGACCGCCTCGTCACGGCCTGTCTGTATAGACCTCCAGGTTTTCTATGATTAGTATTGAGATTAAAGGCATGTGTATCCAATACTGGCTGTATCCCTGAACACACAGAGACTTACCTAGCTCTGCCTACTAAGTGCTGGGATTACAAGCGTATGCCACCACTGCCCTGCTTTCCTATGGCTTGCTAATAGCTCTGACCCCCGGGCAACATTATTTATTAACATACAAATAACATTTTAATACAAATAAAATATCACCATATTGGGCTTTGTTGCAGCCACCTGAAGCACTAGCCTGGCCTAACACCAAATCCACTGAGCATCTAAGCAGGACAAAGGAATTTTTCAGATCTTTGGAGTACCAAGTCCTGAAAGTCTTATCCAGAAAGAAAAAAAATGTGATACATGTTTTAGTCATGATAAGATTATCCCTTAGAATGCCCACATATGTGGATACTGTTACAAGTGCATGGAGTACAGAGACCTCATCTCATGTGACGTGACCTCTATCATGCCCAAGACAGTGCTCACACAGGGAGAGAATGCAGGTCATTGTGTGGGTGGCTGAGTTACTTTCAGAGCTCTAAAGAGCTTCAGGTGTGCCTCAAGTCACAGACATCTAATTTCCTTAAAAATTCGTATAGTTTGAAATAGGCGTGTTGAAAATTCATGCTTTCATTCACTTTTAATGAGATTTTTTTTTTCAGGAATAATATGCCTTACAAGCCTTTCCACCGCCATCTGGAAGACAGGCTTACACTCAGAAGTGCTAACAGGGATATATATGGAGGCTGGCTCTTGACAAAATTAGAGATGGAGAGAAGCACGTTTTAGCAGCTCTTGTCTTCCCTTCCCTTTCTCCTGCCCTTCTCCTATGAGGCCTATGAGGCCTGCATGTCTCTAATTTATGCAAATGCTTTGGAGGCAAGATTCTACTCTGCCCATAGACCTGTTGTTTTATCAAGGATATTGAGGCAAGAAATACTTATCTTCAAGATAAGTGGGAGTGGTTCAGACCTAATGATTCCAAGCATGAAATGGTGGCCCAGGATAGAATTCATAGCCATAGTTCTAGAAACTATAGGACAGAGTGGTTGATGGTATTTATCCTTAAGAACAACCCTGGTTATTGTCAATATCATTCTGTGTTCAACCTTGGAACATTTTAACTATGTGTGAGGCACTGTCCTTGACAGATAAGAAACTCCCAACCACAAACACTAGGTGCACCTTTCCTGGGGACACATAGTGCTCATTACCCCAAGTTTGTGAGAAAGACCATCATGGCAGTGTGTATGAGTGATGAAGGAGGGTATTTATCTTATTGTGAACAGGAAGCAGAAAAAAAAAGAAATACCCAAGGCAAGATACAGCCCTGCAGGCCAAATTCTTGTGGCCTAGTTCTTCCACCTTTCACCAACACCCAATGACGTATCAGAGATGCACCCACGCTGCATGTTATTTCCTGTTTGTTTGTGTGCCTGCTTCTTTGTTTCCTTGCTCTCCTGCCAGCATCAATGTGAGGGGAAAAGATGTGAGCAGAAGATGAAAAGCCAGGCAAAAGCATCAGGCGCTGTGTGCTATCTACCCTGGGATAGCACTCTTGTGAAGTTGTGAGTAACTGTAATCCCTTCAGAAAGCTACACAGGAAAGCTAGAGGAGAGGGGGATGAGCATCTGTTAGGTACCCGCCATGTGCCAGGTTCTGTGCACAGTGTTTTACTATTTATATGCCTTTCGGTGCTTGGATGAGTTTTGGTTTTTTTTTTCAGTGTACAATTGAAGAAACTGGGGCTCAGAGAATAAGCCACTTACTGGGGACTCCCAGCCACCAATCAGAACTGTGGTTTGACCCTCCCACCCTGTCTACCTTCAAAGCTACACTGTCCAGAACAGTAGCCACATCGACATTCTAAGCATCTGAAAGGTGATGGACTGCCACGAAGATTTCCTGTAAGTATAGAACAAACACAGATTAAAAAAAAAAAAAAAACATGCAAAAGCAAGACCATAAAATGACTCAGTCATTTTCATGTTGATTATAAGCTGATCTGATAATATTTTTGCATGCTGGGTTTAATGAAATGGGTTAGTAAATTTCATTTTGCTGTTGCCTGCCATTTATTTATTTATTTATTTGACACAGATATTGGGAATAAAAGATTGCAAGTCTGACTGACGTGGCTCTCCTGGGGCAGGTGATGCCCAAGCAAATCATGTGATAAGGGAAGGAAGCCTTTGTTCTTCCTTCCTTCAACATGGTTGCTGCCTTCCTTGGCTCTGTCCTCACCCTTGGTCAGGAGGGAGTATCAGAGTGGAATGGTAGGGCTGTAGGCAGAACCTGACCGTGATGCCCTGAAGAACCTCTTCCTTCCCCATGTATAATGAGAAACACCATGAGCAGGCCTATAACCCAGCTAAAGAAAATGCGATCAGGCCACTCCTTCATGCATCCTCTTCCCCTTAGAACCTAGTTTTTGTAATAATGGCAGTAATGAATACTATAAATGGAGCATATAAATAAGGAATAATAGTTATGCTCATTTTTTTATGTGAATGAAAAAGGAAGGAATGCTATGATCAAGGACCTGAGGGCCAGGTCCTATTAAGGCGATTTCATACACACGAATACATTGAATCCCACAGCCTCCCATGAGATCAATACTTTTATTAGTCCCTTGGGAGGGTGGTAGCTGACTTGTAGACAATAGCCTCCCCTATTGTATGGGATGAGAGGCAATCGAACACAGGCACTCAGCTCTAGGTGCTGCACAGAGGGAAGAGCAGGACAGAAAGAGGATAAGAAGGCTGAAGAACCAGTCTTCATGGAGTTTTGTTATTTATGGGGTAGTCAGATGCTAGATACAATATTTGAACTCCAGCCTTCAAATCAGCATCAGAAACGATGTGCATTTATCACCGCATTTGATTGTCCAAGAAACTCGAAGAATGAATAATTCACCTAAGGTTATCCAGCTTTTGAACTTGAATTCTTAGTTGCTGAGGCCGGGGCTGGGGCTGGAAGGGGAACATTTGAGGCAAGAAATGAGGGGAAAGAGAAGAATGCAAGGAAGTGTCACACTTGGATGTGTGTCCTGTGTGTGTCCTCTCATGCATGGATTGTTCACTGAAGCCAAGAAAAAGATCTTCTATTTCTCTTGAAAAATTAAATTTATTTTTTCTGTCATGTGTGAGTATTTTGGCTGTGTGTATGTATGTGCTCCATGCACACATGTTTGGTGCTTGGACAGGACAAAAGAGGGCATTGGATCTTCTGGAACTGGAGTTATGGGTTGTTGTGAATCATCATGTGGGTGCTGGGAATTGAGCCCTATTGCTCTGCAAGAGCCACATCCTCAGCCCCACGTCTCTTCATTCTAACCACTCTTCTCAAATTCCATCACAAAATCAAGTACTTAGTAGGTCCTTAAATTTTCATAAAGTACAAAATACCTCTGCAGAAGCCTGGCTTTGGCGTATGGGCTACATGAGATGAAGCCGATATTCACTTGCTCCAGATAATATGCAAGCTCCTCTTCCAAACAATGAATATTTCCCCCTCGAGATTCTCTAGTGTTTCAAGCTCACCAGCTATTTTAAGACCCAGATTTATTACTGTTGTGCACATCCCTAAAAGATCTGGAGAGTCCTGCCCTCTTTGATTCCCTTCATCCATCCTCCCAGCTAATTTATGGAGAAGCAGCCCAATTTGGAGTCACTTTCATGTGCTCGCCCTGTCAAAAGACATCCAGGTACACTTTATGAAGATGATTCATTCAGACCAGGGAGGACAATCTCCGAATCTCAGGCCAGCAGACACACTGGGGGCAGAAGGGGACTGGTGGCTGGTTAACAGTCTGTTTATGATACCTGCCTTTTGAAAGTGCGATTTTAAAGGGACCTCGCTCGATTGAGAAAATGACATAAATTAGATGTGGCAACATAAAGATGGTGTGATCAGAAATGGAAGAGGGAGGTGCTTCTGGGGTCCCTGGTGTTTTCTGATGGGGATCTACAACTGATGCTTAGCCAGATGAAGGACAAAATGCCGTTTCTTTAGAAGAAGTTGACACAGCAGCCACTAGACTATTTGTTAAAGATTAATAAGAAATGGTTTCTCTCCCATGGTTCTTTGGGGAAATAGTATGATAAGAAGTAATTCTAAAACGATTTTGAGGATTTGTCAGTAAGAGGGATATAGCTGGCTAGCAAGAGTAATCTGCAATGTCCATGTAATAAATTAAGATAGATTGAATTTAAAAATGGCCCTTTAGCAGTCACTGACAGAATAATTGATTCTAGCAAAAATCATCGATTGATTTTATTCCACTTATATTGCTCCTGGCTATTTTTCCAGATCACTGGGGTATTTAATTGTTAGCAGAATTTTGTGGATCAGAAATTCACGATGTGCTTATCCAGGCTGTACCTGCAGACACTCAGTGGTTGCAGTCTGATGTCAACACCCTTAAGGTGCCAGTACTGCACCGTCCACTGTACCTCACTCTGGTGGTAATAGTTTATGTTTGCCAGTGGCAGAGAGAGAGAGAGAGAGAGAGAGAGAGAGAGAGAGAGAGAGAGAGAGAGAGAGAGAGAGAGAGAGAGAGACTGTGCCTGTATATATATAGATATACACACACACACATGCACACACACACACATGCACCAATATACACACACAGGCAAAACGCCCATACATATAAAATACACTTTTAAAAGTACTTTAGGAAACACAAGAGAAAGAAAGTAGCTGACACTCTCAATGGGAGGAGTCTCCAGAACCTTTTAGGTCACAGTGTTATAAACTGCCCCATGTGTTAATATCACTGGGTGGGAATTCAATAGGGAGAAGTATATTTATTCTCAGTCTCAACGTGCTTCTTACAGGTTATTTATTAGAAAGTGAAAACTAACATTACAGTGGAAAGAACTTGGTAGACAGTACCTTAGTGTAATCATTGTCACCAATCACGGTGTACTGTGCACCTCCTGGTATGATATGCTTCGAGTACTTGGCAATCTAGACGGGAGAAAGTGGTGACACCAACCATAACAGATGAACACTCCACAACCAGCCTAGACTCTTCAAAATAACCTGAGCAGTTGCAGCAGTTAGCATCCTCCTTTGCTCTTAGCGCTTATCCTACCAGCACTAAAATCTGCTCCAGTCTACCAGGAGCACCAGGAAGCTAGCGCCCTGGACCAATCTCCATCCAACAATGAAGCACCCCATTTCTTGACCTCAGGGTAGGGGGTAACTGGAGCATTTATATGTTTCCTCTCAGAACTCCTTGAATCCACATTGTCGCTGGCATTTGAATCTTGTTGCACCAGCTAATTGCTCGATAACATGCTTACATATTGTCTCCCTCTCCTTTCCTGTTTCATTTGCCCACTCCTAATCATGTTTCCTAGGATCTTATTTCAAATCTCTATTCTCACTCAAATTCCTGCCTTGGTACCGGCCTCTGGAACAATACACTCTAGCACCGTCATGGGCAACAAGTAAGGAGCGGAGGAAGCACTCTAAAGGGGACTGAGGAGGCTCGGCTATAGCTGCAATCAAGCTCATGGACTGCAACCAAGCTTGGAAAAACACATTTTGAATTCCACTATTGTGATAATTAGCAAAGTATGAATACAGATCTCAGAGAAGACAACACCATTTTATCAGTCTTACAGTTCCAGAATTCTACAATTACATTGTGTCAACATAAGATCATGTCCTCAGTCTTAGGAGCCAAGTGCTGAAGTAGTGGAGGTGAAGGGTCAGTTCATTATAAATCATTTAATAAAAACCAGAAGAAGATGAAGATTTACTTTTGTTTTTATTTTATATGAATGAGCGTTTCGCCCATATGTATGTATGTGTATCACTTGCACACAGAGTACACACAAATGCCAGAAGAGGGCATTAGATTCCTTGAACCTGGAGTTACTGACAGTTGTGAGCTACCATGTTGGTGCTGGAAATTGAAACTTGGTCTTCTGGAAGAGCAGTCAGTGCTGTTAACCAACGCATGTAGCAAAATCACAATATCAGAAGACTTGGAACATGCACAAAAGACACCACTTTTCAATTTTTCGATAATGGGAAAATGTCAAGTGAGTTATTGAGGAAAATCAGAAAGCAGCTAAGATTTCTTGATGATGACAAGAGATATACATTCTCTCTCTCTCTCTCTCTCTCTCTCTCTCTCTCTCTCTCTCTCTCTCTCCCTCTCTCTCTCTCTCTCTCTCTCTCTCTCTCTCTCTCTCTCTCTCTCTCTCTCAATGCTACTGTCCCCATGTGTAGGAAAATTTTTACACTGAAGTGAGCTGTAATGAACCTCACAGCCAGCATTTATACTTTGCTCAGTCTGAGAAGGTGTTTCTATTTTCCCTAGCCCAGAAAATCTAGGTGGCTTACCCAAGATTTTATACTGAGAAGCAGCAGAACCCCAACTCAAACCCCAGTCAGCCTGCATCAAAGTATTTGCCTATTTGGGGCTAGAGAGATAGATCAGCTGCTAAGAGCACTTGCTGCTCTTCATGAGGACCTGGGTTCAATTCCCAGAACGCTTATGTCACTTACAGTGAGCTATAGCTCCAGTTCTAGGAGATTTGGTTCTTCTGGCTCCCATGGGCATCAGACATGTGCATGTTACATAGTCACACATGTAGACAAAATCCCCACACACATAAAATGAAAACAAATCTTTTATCTTTGCATACACATGAACACTCTCTCTCTCTCTCTCTCTCTCTCTCTCTCTCTCTCTCTCTCTCTCTCTCTCTCTCACACACACACACACACACACACACACACACACACACACACACACTCATAACTGTGAAGAGGTCATGAATTTGAAAGACAGTGGGAGGAACAGAGGACGAGTTGGAAGATGATGTAGGGGCAGTGCTCATGTATGGAGCTCTCAAAAGAAAATCTTTTGTCTGTTCCCTCCTCCAGGACCACAGCACTGTTTTCAATAGAGATGTTGTAAATCCGTACCTGCTCTTTGAAAACCCAACTTTTGACATTAATGCAGGTAACTGTAGATCACTGGAAGCTTGATAGAACTTGGAGGATCCTTAACAATTGAACCTGATCATTTTTATAGATAAGGAAATTGAGGCCTAGGAGAGAAGGATAATCTGGTTGAAGCAGAAAGCTAATTAATAGAGATGGCAAGTCCAGAGCCATTAGACAAGCCAGTGCTGGTTCCCCTGAGAAGATGGGTTGGCACACCCAGGTTCAATTTTTCCTTATATTTTAAAAACCATGCTCTTCCCCTTTTATTGAATTTGAAATGCTCTGACAAGCTTGGAAATGTGAATAGACCATCTGAGAGCTGGCACCAAATGCAGCTGAAAATATAAAACAGGCTGTTGAGTGTGCTGACTTCTCTGTCCCTCCAGGGCAGCCGCTATGCTTAGGAATGCATTCCTGTGAGCTACTGAAGGAGTAAAGACTCATAGCCAGTCCAGACCTGATGAAGGGTGCTGTAAACCGATAGTGGGAATGACGGGGCCAAAAGACCCTGGGAGAGAAACAAGTTTCCTCCAACCATTTGGGGAAAATAGGAGCCCATTTCAAACAGAATCTCACGCATAGCCTTACCACAGGAAAGAAACAGTTAGCAGAGGGTTTGGAGGATAAAGTATAGTGTTGTGCACTGGGGAACAGAGTATAAGAATCATAAGAAAGAAAATCATGTCAAAATTTTCCTGTGTGGAGGGAAGAGTGATACATGCATTTTGTGTGTGTGTGTGTGTGTGTGTGTGTGTGTGTGTGTGTGCATGCCTGAGCTGATGTGTGTGTATTTATATTGTGTAAATGTATATGCATGCATATAGTAATGCATGGGTGGTTATGTGTATGTAGGAAAAGAGGTGTGTTATGTGTATCACAGGCATAATTTCATGCATATATATGACCCATATATATGTATAATGTCCGTATGTGTGTGTGTGTATATATATATATATACTTATTAATGTATGCATGTGTACTGTGTGTAAGTATACAAATATATGTATAATGGTATACATGTGCATCAAGTATATACTGTGTGGGCATATGTACATGAGTATATGTATACTGCATGTATTAATGAGAAGATTATGTATGTTTACTGGGTGCATTTGTACAATTATGTGTACATACATATGTTTTGTGTTTATGTGAGTGTGTATTAGCATATATGTGCATGAGTGCATGCATGCACACAGAGATACAGGTGTAAAAAGTATAAAAGTATGTCAACACACATAAACCCATCATTAAAACCAAATAACGGTTCAAAATAAACATATGAACACACAGGACATTCACACATACATGCAATATAAATGCACACATTGATATATGCATAGACATGTACATAGTATAAAGAAACATACACACAACACAGTATAGATATGCACACATCACACCAAAGTTCCTTTCTTTCCCAGAACAGACTCTACATTACAGACTGTACCCAAAGCCTTGGAAGTTGGAATCCAGTTTTCTTTTTCTGCTTGAGTTAAGTGAAGTAAAATTCATATTTATATTTGAAAGAAGTCCATCCATAAGCTTAATTCTATGATTGCACACTATTTGGCCCGAATTCACACACATAGCTATCAAAGCAACTCTGAGACTGATTTTCCTGGCACCACTGCCAGAATCTTCTAGAGAAAATGGCTGGTGCATAGAGTTCAAAATGGGGACTCTGGCACACAAAAAGGGGACAAATTGGAGGTTCAGAGCCCGTTGATAGCCCTTGGTCCTTGGGGCGGAGGTGCTGGAAGGCATGACTGTTCTCAGAGCGATGATAAATTTCTCAAAGCAACCATCAAATTGGCAGGTGATTTGGCTCCATCAGATATGCCAGCATGATTGATGTTCACTCATCAATGGAATCCAGATTTGATCTACTAACCCAGCAGTGTAATCAGAACATTATCCACCCCAAGTCCCACCACCTGATGCAAAACTTAGTAGGGGGCTGTCTGTATTCCTGTTATTGTTATTATTCTCTCAAGGGGTGCCCGCATCTAGTGAATTATAACCAGTTTCTCTTGTGGTGTATTGCAATTTGCCACTTTGCTCCCCTTGTCAAAAAAAAAAAAAACCAATATAATTTTCAGCCAAAAAAATACAGCACTGCATTATGATAATGGCACCAGCATTCCATCCATCAGCGGGAATGGGATGATTACTTACCATGTTTTAGAGGACTTCCCGATGAATTTGAAAAGTTGCCCTTCTGGAAAGGAGGTACTTAAATCTTTGGATTATCCTCCAGGTTTGGGAAAAGCCTGGCAATCCGGCCTCTGGAAACTGAGGAAACCTTTCTCAAGAGTGGTTAGGACTGCCTCACACCCCAGATAGGCCAAGAGAGGGATAATCAAAACCAGCTGGGAGGGAGTTTAAAACCTAGGCAATGGTTGCTGAAAAATCCCAGTGACTGGCTTCGAAGACCCATCTGTCTCAAATTGACTAGCTCAGGGAGCTGGCATACAGAGATAATGAATCCAAGGTCACGAGATCAAGTTCATGTACATCTGAGCCAGCCAGCTTAGGGAAGGTGTTGGGGGGTGCTGAGGCCATGGCAGCTGGATCTCCTCCAGCCTTATTGGCCCTGTGTGCGTACAGCATTAGTTGCCAAGAAAAAAGCTGGCAGCAGTGGGTGGATTGTAGTTTTACTCCATTTAAAGAGCTTTTGGTTCAGCTCCTCTCTGAAAATACTATGCCTCCCAACTAAGCAGAGCTAGCAGAGATCGTGAGACCTGGGCTCTGTCCTCAAGAAGGCAGCTTCTAGGCTGGTAACTGAATCCTAGGGAAACAGGCCTGAGCTTTAACTCCTGTGAAGGCTGGAAAAAAAGGAAGGAACTTAACTCCATAGAAACAGGAGGAAGAGAGAGTGGCTTAGAGGGTAGGAAAGGCCTATGGAAGTGGAAGGCTCACATGACATTTTAACAGAGCTTTCGGGAATAATTATTATTTCATCAAAGGTAAACAGGAAGCAGATAAGACTACAATACACACTTGGGAGCCTCCTTCGGTGGCTAGAGGTCTGCATTCTTCCCACAAAGTGAGTCTTCTCTATAAAACTCTTCCCTCTCTAAAAGATACCCCCACAACAGACTGCTGGCAATGGTCGAGAGACAGCCCGAACCGACCTACTCTGGTGATGGGATGGCCAAACACCCTAATTGTCATGCTAGAAACCCCATCCAACTACTGAGGGATCTGGATGCAGAGATTCATGGCTAGGCCCCGGGTGGATCTCTGGGAGTCCAATTAGTGAGAATGAGGAGGGTTTATATGAGCGAGAATTGTTGAGACCAAAGTTGGATAAAGCACAGGGACAAATAGCCAAACGAATGGAAACACATGAACTATGAACCAATGGCTGAGGGGTCCCCAACTGGATCAGGCCCTCTGAATGGGTGAGACAGTTGATTGGCTTGATCTGTTTGGGAGGCATCCAGGCAGTGGGACTGGGTCCTGTGCTCATTGCATGAGTTGGCTGTTTGAAACCTGGGGCCTATGCAGGATCGCTTGGCTCGGCCTGGGAGGAGGGGACTGGACCTGCCTGGACTGAGTCTACCAGGTTGATCTCAGTCCGTGGGGAAGGCTTTGCCCTGGAGGAGATGGGAATGGGGGGGGGGGGTTGGGGGGAAGGTGAGGGGGGCGGGAGGGGGGAGAACAAGGGAATCCATGGCTGATATGTAGAACTGAATTGTATTGCAAAATAAAAAAATAATAATAAAAACCTCTTCCCTCTCAAGCCTTTTCAACAATTCAGCTTCAACATCATGAACTAAAGATAGTGGTACTCTCATCTGCATCCCCTCAGATCTGTACGTTATTTATTTATTTATTTATTTATTTATTTATTTATTTATTTATTTATTTATTCATTTATTTATTTATTTATTTGTTGGTTTTTCGAGACAGGGTTTCTCTGCGTAGCTTTGCGCCTTTCCTGGAACTCACTTGGTAGTCCAGGCTGGCCTCAAACTCACAGAGATCCGCCTGGCTCTGCCTCCCGAGTGCTGGGATTAAAGGCGTGCGCCACCACCGCCAGGTACAACCAGGGTCCGGCTG